AAAGGGGGGCAGGGCATTCAGGAATGACCAAAAAGGAATGGGTCACCTGATGCCGGCCCAAATCCACCTGACGCTTGCTAGTCCATTGATATGCCTTGGACCCAGTGGCTCCTTGCACGAGACTAATTTTCTGAGACAGTGGTCCAGTAGGTTTATTTAGAACTGAATATTGAGGCCCTGTATCCACCATGCATCTCACGGGCTTCCCCTCCACATATGTGGTTACCCAAGACTTGGGGAGGGGTTCTGAGTCCCGTCCCCTCTAGTCATTTTCCAATTCAGTTAACAGGACCCGGTGTCATTGTTGGGCCTGCTATTTGGCCTCAAGTGACCCTGGAGCCTAGGACATTCTCTCTTCCAGTGTCCATATTCCTTACAATAGGCACATTGTCTCTTTGGGGATTGGGGGGGCCAGTCCATCCAGAGCCTGGTCCAGCCAAACCTTGGACCCCTGCTAGCAATATTTTAGCCATTTCCTTCTGCTGTTTCTTGTTTTCCTTACTCTGGTGTTCCCTGTCCTCCCTCCGAATCCTTTCTTGTAGTTCCTGATTTTCTTTCTTGATTCTATCCTCTCGCTCTTCTGGTGTTTCTCGAGTGTTAAAACCTTTTTCGGCTACTTTCATCAGATCCCGGATAGTCATTTCCCCAAGTCCTTCCTGCTTATATAGTTTCTTCCTAATATCGGGGGCAGCCTGATTTATGAAGGACATTATAACGGCTGACTGATTCACCTCCGCTAGTGGATCTAGAAGGGTATACTGTCTGTATGCATCGTAAAGGCGCTCAAGGAATGTGGCTGGGCTTTCATTCTCCCCCTGCACTATCGTCTTTACCTTAGCCAGATTGGTAGGGCAGCGAGCTGCTGCCCGGAGGCCTGCCATAAGAGTCTGGTGGTAGACCCGGAGACGCTCCCTACCTTCTGCGTTCCCATAGTCCCATTTGGGTCTGTTTAAGGGAAAATGGTCATCAATCAGGTTTGGCAGAGTAGTCGGTCGTCCATTGTCGCCGGGGACATTCTTTCTGGCTTCAGTGAGAATCCGCTCCCGTTCCTCAGTGGTGAATAGAGTCTTAAGGAGCTACTGACAGTAGCTCCCATGTAGGACTGTGAGTATGTAAAATGGACTCGAACAGATCAGTCAGGCCTCTAGGATCCTCAGAAAAAGGAGGATTCTGGGCTTTCCAGTTGTACAGGTCACTACTTGAAAAGGGCCAATACTGATAGACGCGTCCCCCATCGGGACCAGCACTGCCCAGAGCCCACACCGGGAGGATGGGGGGTGCAGTGGAGGTGGAGGAGGGCTCCTCCTCTGGAATTTCTTCTCGCTGCCTACGGGGCCTGAGTCCCCTCGCCGGTCCTGAGACCGGGGCGGGGGGTGCAGATGGGGAGGTTGATGAATGGGGAGGTTCAGGGGGGGCAGCTGCCTCTGGCTGGAGCGGCAGCGGCATACGGGGAGGGGGGGCTTGCCTCAAAATCTAAGTCTATCAAGGACAGATGGGAAGTCAGTTCTTCCTGCAGAATAGGCTTCTTAGGGGAATTAACAGGAGTGGGGCGTTCCCCAACATGGCCAGTATCGTGGTCCGGTCTGTAGGTGCCTCATTGATAAACGGCCGCAGCCAGGAAGGGGGATCCTCTACTAAAGTCTGCCACATAAGGATGTAGGGATATTGATCAGGGTGGCCATGAAGACCAGGTTTATTAATGACATCACGGACCTTCTTAATTGTGTCCAAGGAGAAGGTACCCTGAGGAGGCCAGCCTACATTAAAGGTTGGCCATTCCACTGAGCAAACGGCATCAAACTTACCTTTCTTAATTTCCACGCCATAATTGTGTCCCTTAGCACGGATTTCTGAAAAATGACTCAGAAGAAGGGTCTTAGGAGTTACCTAGGGTCCCATGATGATCAGAAGAGATGGACAAAGGAGACAACAAAGAACAAAAGAGACAATTCCAGCAGACAAACAAATTCACACAGGACTCTCCAACATACACAAGTACCGGCCGGTCAACCAGACTACTCTCACAGGCGCACTTCCATTCACACCAGATTCAGGATCCTTACCCAAAGACCGCCCAAACGGCGTCCACTGAGGACGTCGGTGCGGCTCCTGACTGTCGGAGACGTTTCCCACGACTTCCAATAGTGAAGCCTCCAGGGCTGGAACCCCTTCCTTTCACTCAATGAGAATTCCCAACCAAATTCAGATGGGGACTCTAAGTCCCTCCAAACGGAGGTGACCAATCCTCCTTCCGCGGTTTTTCCCAATTAAACCTCGGTATCGGAGGCCGTTTGTTCCTCTCAGGGGCCGATCTCGGTGGAACCTCCAGCTGTTAGGGTATGAGGCTGGCCACCTTCTGAGAGGACAAAGGACACTCGAGACAAACGAAATCACAAGGCGAGGTTTATTTTCTAGCTAGCTAGGGTCCAAGCGTCCACCTGACGCAGCAGGTTTCAACAAGGACCCTGAAAGCAAAGTTTAAGCAGGTCTTATACTCTTTAAAGCATCAATCATCGTCACATAGGAATTCCTCATGCCCCTGGGGTCACATTTTCCTGATCTTGCCCACATCCTGGTGGTGGGGTAAGATTATTTATTGGGAACTGGAGAAACACCAGAGGTTTACTTATCAGGTTACAAGGAATGTGTTCTCCCATAAATTAGGGGCCAGTAGTGGAATAGAAACCTAAGGTTTAGATAAGAACAGCAGGGGAGTCCTGTTTTGGAAAGTTTATTTACAAGTGGAGACAAAGAAAGGCAGGAATGGGTGCTTATCTCTGCATGGTGCCTTTCATCTCGGTCCCGAACTTTTGCATGGCTCTAATGGGCAATTCCTCACAGCTCTGTCCGAGGTTACAGCTTTTAATTGACAGTTTACCATGTTTTACAACCCAGTTTCAAGGCTATCTTCCTCTTCACGAGGTTACCCAAGGGTCATGCCAGTTATAGCTGATTTTTAGGCTAGGTGGGCTGCAAGTTAAAGTACCCCAACACCTCATGTACACACTCATTTGTGGGAAGAGAACTATCTTGCTCATCTTTTTGAAATCGTACGTTGCCATTCATTTTGAGTTTGTAGAGTAGTTTTTATTGTTTCCAGTTGAAAACTTAGTTTTGAATGCTCCCTTCCTCACATTTCTTCCAGAAATTTATTTCCATATGTTTTAGGTGCCAATTCAGAGGCTGATTCATTTCGTGAGGTGCAGGGTGATGATTTAGTGATGTGTAGCTGAGGCTCACCACCAGGTGGGTGTGTTTCACAGCCACCACCTGCTGCATCTCAACTCAAGTGAGCTGCTTCCTCCAAGGTGCTTAATGGCAGCTCATTGTTATCTAAACTCACTTTTAAAGCACAGTTTCAGACAACAAATGCCATTAATAGCTGAACATAGTTAATATAGCCTTTGGCTATTGAACATGACCTTTGACTAAACTGATCATAGACATTAAAAGAATGTTGAAGTTCTGTGTCATATATATTCTGTGTTCTTACATTACAGAGATCACAATTACTTAGCTTCTAAAAGATCAGTATGTTGCATGGAGCAAAGAACACTACACTATAGTCAGTGGGGCTCTAGATTCCTAAGTTTGGGTCAGCTAAGATCCTTCCCTGATCTTTGCCTATAGGTGTTTCCTCATGTTAAATCCAACTTACGAAAGTGGGTTAGACTCAAATCTTAATAACTCAGAATTCAGTGCTCATGGGTGCTAGAGGGAATGGAGGACACTGTAATTAGAAGTGTACTGCAGTAGAATTTATAGTTTTTACAGAATATTGTAATAGAAAAGAAGAATTTTTAAAATGATTTCATATGCTGCCATTTTCTGGGGGATTTTTAGTTTTGCTTCCTGATACAAAAGCCAAACCCCATGTGCGTGTTGACTCAACTGCACATATTCTTTGATTTTTCTCTTTGTCATAATAAAGAAGAAAAATAGTGATTGTACCACAATAAAATTAATACCAGTTCCCTAAAGGAAAAAGTCAAAACTAGCGAAGTAGTGGCGGGACCATGCCCATTCATAAATACTAACAACTAATAGTGACATCACTGCCTTTCAGTTAGGATTTCTTTGTGTACTTAGGCTATTTGTGGTGTTTAGTACAGTTGTAGATTTACAGAATAATTGAGCAGTTTTACATGGAGCTAGTTCCAGTGCATATAGGACTCTTTATAACCAATCCTAATTTGTTCTCATTGCCAAAGTACTCATTGCAGAAAAGAAATTCAACTATAGATAAGCAAACAAAATTCTTATGGAACATATGTTATATCTTCTCTTTGCTCAGCTATTCCTTTCTGCCTCAAAGGTCAGCCTCTGAACTAGAGAGGAGCTGGGAATATGCTTCTCCTTTGTGAAGGCTTTGAACATGTCAGTAGCAGTGATTACACTTTATCTTTTTAAGCCTTGAAGGGTATAGCAAGCACTTTACTGTTGCAGATAGAGTGCACATAAACCTTAGCATCGAAATCTGGTTCCACTACTTTCTTTTCTTTCCAGACTTAGAGTTTTTTTACTCACTCACCAAATATTTATGTAACTGCTAGGTCTGGGTGCCATGCTATCTGCTAGGATGTGTAGGTGACAGACAACAAGCAAATAACAAAGCCTTTAAAACTAATGTACTTTTATAAGAGTGCAAAACAGTACTATCTAAAGAACCCCGACTGTAAACCATATGTTCTTTGTCTAGCTTCAGGGTGCACTGCACTGCTTATGGAAGTTTTGCTATAGTCTCCCCACCCAACTCCCCCCACCCCCGCCCAAAAAAAAAAAAAAAAAGAAGATAATTGTTTGTTTTGCAGATGAGCCCTGGACCTTAGGGCACAATTTAAGAAGCTTAGGTGTAAAGTGATCCAAGAACCACCTTTTACAGTTAATATAAATTATGATTCATACTTATTTTTCTTGTTGGCCATTTTTAGTTTGTATTTTGATTTTCTTGAGTTTTGCTGACATTTTCTATGAAAGTCACAGTTTTGCCTTTTGATCTAATGAATATTGGTAGGTATGGAAGAGTTAATTATGTCCTGGCTCGAAGAATAGAACTTTTAGAAGAGGTCAAACGATTGCAGAAGAGTCTGGGGGTTCCAGGCGATGCTTCATACACTTGTGAGACTGCAGGGTATTTCTTCTTGTATCAGGTAAGTTGCTAGGGGCTTTTAAATCCTACTTCATTAGAAGGTGGTTTCCAGGTGGAAACAGAGATAAGTTCTTGAGATTCTTCTTGAAAGCTTATTTTTTGTTTTGCTGATTAAAATTTGTGCTATTACCAAAGCTATTGTGATGTTGTGTGTGTTTATTAGACTATATTGTGTTGGCAGTGCGATTGTGAATGTTAAGTGTTTTTATTTTTATATTTTCTGAAATTTTCTTTGATAAAATAACTTTGCTTGATGACTCATTCAGTGAAAAACCAATATTGCTAGTTTGTGTTTTCTTTTCTTATTACTCCTTTCTCTCTCCCCCTTCCTCCTTTTCTTTCCTTCCTTCCCCCTCTCTCTCCCTTTCCTCTTTTCTTTCTCATTCTGCCATTACTGTAGGAATATAACTAAATTTTTAGTTACACAGTGGTAACAGTGTACAGCTCTGTAATTTAATTATAGCATTAATCAACTAATGAAGGAAGCCATATTCCTTCACATCTCCAGGGATAAATTACACCAACTAATCACACAGTGGGATTTAAGCCAAAACCTCTGTTGACTTCAATTGGAAGGTGAGGTTTTTTTTCTCTTGGTAAGGTTAATTTTTTGAATATGAAAACCAGTGAGAAATAGAAATCCAAGTAAACTGAATAAAAATAAACTTAAATTACTAATAATTTTAAATGTGTTAAGTCATAATCAAATTACACAAGAGTAACATTGGAAAAGTATTTCAAAGGTCAAATTCCCAAGCTCTGCCCTAAGAAATTCTCATTCAATAGGATCTGAAAATTTACATTTTTATTTAGCTCCTCGGATATTCTGCCTAAGGACTACACTTTGAAAAACACTGAACTTGTAACAGAAAAAGACCCAGGAGAATTAGACAGACTAAGACGAGGTAGGAACTAGCTGGTAGAGGCATAACTGACATTGTAGACAGATATTTGTCACAAAAGTCACCGGGCAAGCTTTCAAATACATACTCAATCAGAAGTTCTTTATAAGTTCTAGAAAGCATTGAAAACATTACAGAGGCTTGGAAAAGGGGTTGAGAAGTGTCAAATTGATAGAGTGAGCAAGCTGAGCCTACCACATTTGGAGAGAAACTGAGATAATGAAAAATAGGAACCACTGTGCAGAGAGCTTAGCTTAGCCCTCTTCCCTTCTCTGCATTGGCAATATGCCATTTTGAGTGTGCTCAGACAGGATCCCATGAGATGTCCTTGAGAGTCTTTTCAGCTTCTACATTTTCATGGAGCCCTTTTTCCCAAATCCTCAGGTTACTTTTTAAAAAGAAGAGCCATCTGTCAGTGACTTGGATGAGAACTAGTAACACTGGGTCAAAGACTGCATGTTGTTTCCTTTTTTTCACTGATTTGTTTCTAGTTTTATCACTGAAGGTACTATTTGCAGACCTAGTAAACCTGGAGTCCCTTCTCCGGCAGGTGATGTCTCGTTGGGAGGAGTACATAAGCAAAGTGAAGAACAAAGGCAGCACATTGCCAGATGTCACAGAGGTCTCCACGTTCTTCCCATTCCAAGAGTATTTTGCAAATGCTCCTCAGCCTATCTTTAAAGGCAGGTCTTATGAAGAAGACATGGAGATAGCAGAAGGATGCTTCAGGCATATTAAGAAAATCTTCACTCAGCTTGAGGTAAGGATTTTTATGTTCTTTTAACTTTTCTTTGAAAGTTTGAAGGTTAGATTATTTTTCCAATGAAGTAAATCTGGAAAATCAGACTTTCCTTTAAAGTTAATGAAAATATTTCTGATTTTTTAGTTCACAAAATAAGCAAAAATTAAGATGAGTTGTATCCCATTATTTTAGTTTTTCTGCTATAAAAGACTTACAATAGTTCTTTAATGGGAATTTGAGATGCAGCCATTCTGAGTTCCTTATGCCTCTTGATCAGTAGACAGAAAGCAAGGTTCCTGTGTTAGGATGGTTAATCCTGATATTAAAGTGAAGTCAGAACCATCGATACACAGAGACAGAAGAATGTGGCTGGATCCCAGGAGCCCTTGGGCCATCACCTGGTTTTTCACACCCTGTAGCAAACGTCATTGGAAGACTAGCAGTCCTGCAGAGCTGTCACACTCAGGCCCAGATCCTCAGTAAAAAGTTTCAGGATCACCCCAAATAAAAAGGGCAGGTAGTGTGTGTCCATTGGTTTTGAATCTCTAAGACATTCCTGTCCCCTTCCTAGAACAGTATCTCACGCATGGTAGATGTTCAGTCAGTGTTGGTGTGTATGTGGATAGGTGGGTGGATGTACAGAATAGCAAAAATAAAGTGTGATAATGAGATTTTTAAGCTGCAAGACAATGTTTTATGTTTATGATTACATCAGCACATCTAAGTAAAAGGATGAAAACAAACTCAATTCATAGAAGTAGTTGCTTTAGTAGGGAGTGGAGAGAAGAATATACACAGTCCCTCAGCTATATCAGTAATGTTTAAATTATTTAAGAAACAAGACAAAAACATGAAATTAAGTATAGGCAGTGTTCAGATTTCAGGCCCAGTTTGGGCCCGTTAGCCCTTCTTGCCCATCAGTTGTCCATTGTCTTATGTTCTGTGGGTCCTTTGCTGAGGTTTAGGCTGCTCCTTGCAGCTTTCTGGGTCAGCTGACTTCTGGCCGGTTAAGCACATCCTGAGCTATGGGGCAGGAGTCGAGGAAAGCGAGAATCCAGAATCTCTCCTTCACTTGCCCCTGCCCAGGTTCCTCTTGTCCATTTCCCCCAGTGTCTGCTGGGCTGGCCTGCGCTGGTTCCAGCTTTATGACCCTAGTCCCTGGGCTCTGATAAACCCCCTTCCATATGGGTACTTGAAGTAATTCAGGTACAGTGGTAATTAATATTTTACTCATTATTCTTGCTTTTACTGTAAGTATCTTGCCTTTTACAAACGATAGTCCAAATTGTAGCTTGAATATCAGCTACTACTTGAACTCAATTGGTACCTAAATAATAAAGAATTATGATTCATTAGGCTAGCTTATTTCATATTTTATTAACTTCTCAGGAACTAAGCCTAATTAACTGGAATATATGGTTGTATGCATAAACTGTGTTGTTATCCTAAAGTCGTCTTTCACTGGCCCCACTCCTGCAGGAATTCAGAGCCTCTGAACTGCTTCGCAGTGGCCTGGACAGATCCAAATACCTTTTGGTGAAAGAAGCCAAAATCATCGCTATGACCTGTACCCACGCTGCCTTAAAGCGACATGACTTGGTCAAGTTAGGCTTCAAGGTACAAAGACTTGTGTTTTAGTTCCTTAAGCCATCATCTATTCATTTGTTAGCTTTTGGTCTTTATATGTTTTGTTTTGAATTATCTAGACCTTTTCCCTTGACTGGCTCACTTTTTATGAAAGTTGTCATTTATAATTACTTTAAAATATCTCTTTTGAAAGTGATGATGATACCACTTTTAGATGATTAGTGAACCTTAATCTATTTTTTTCTATCTCTAGTTATCAGTAATATGTCTATTAATTAACATTAGAACCATATGGTTGTCTGGCCAGATTCTCATATTTATTAAGGTTTTATTTTTACTAATTATCACTTGTTTAAAAATCTTCAAACAGAACTAAAGGCTATAAAAATATTTCACAGTGACTTTCACCTGTGAGGCATCGTGTGCTTGCCTTGTTCATATGTGAAACATATATCCAATTCTTGTCATTTATTTAGTTTATTCACTCCACAAATAAAAGACTTCCATTTCAGGATATGGTTTCTCCTATTCAGAATGCAGGATGAGATATTAAAATGAAGAGGAAGTGGCTGACAGCCTATTACTTGGTGGAATGCGATGATTGAGCTGTGAATCTGAATTTGTAGAATATCTGTGACTTTCCTAGCGTTGCTACCTAAACTCTGATGTTAATACAAATCACTTAACTTTCCTGCACCTGATTTACTTATTGTGGTTTAAAATAGGGCTTGTGTACTGGTTTTGAATGCAAAGCTAGCAATTTGTTGATGAAAGCAACTGACAATTTTAAGATGTATGAGCTCACTGAAAGATAGTGTTAAATAAATTCAAGGTGATAGAATTGTTGTTATCTAGGATGAAAGTTTCCTCAGTTGTGGGGAGGGGCAAATACGATAATTTATTAAAAGGTAGTGTGAACTTAACCACAGTGGTGTGAACTTATCCTTTTGCAAATTATTAGTGAGAACTTTTCACCTAAGTATTTTGTTCTTGGGACTGAGTTATAAAATACACTTTGATTTGATGTTAAATCGTATCAGCTTACTGATAAGGGGAACTAATGGAATCATAGCTAGCATTTTGTGCTATGATACAGCTTTTCACGTGAATTCTAAAAAATAATGTTGTTGAAGAATTTAAAAGCCTTATAAACCTACTTAAACTGGGCTGCCCTCTCCTGCTTTGAGTAGACCATGAGGAGGATTTTTTTCCTAAGATAGTATGAAGGCCTTGAAACCAAGAGTTTAAACAAACAAAAATGTCTTTTTTTGGAAAACGGAGAACAGGAAGGTAAAACAGGTCCTGTCTGGGGGTTGGTTCCGGTGGGAAGAGGGAGATACAAGGAAAGGGTATAGGAGGATAAATGTGGTGGAAATTTTATGTACTCATGAGTGAAAACGGGAAAATGAGACATGCTGAAACTGTTCCAGGAATGGGGGAGGAGGGATAAAGGAGAATGATGGGTGAGAGAATTCAAGTCTGATGTGTTCTAAGCACTTTTGTGAAAAACAGTGCACCCCCAGTACAACAATCATGATAATAAAGAAATTTTTTTAACTGCCGCTGTAAAAACAAAGGCCAGGAGGTGATGTGATCCTGTGAGTGGTCAGTGGCTCCTAAGACAGGATGGGGAGGGCATCAACTGCTGCCAGTAGCCGTAGTGGTGGCTCTGACTTGAGTGCAGGACTGGTGAAATAGAGGCAAGCAGATGGATTCGAGAGGGAGCATTAAAGGTAAAATCAGCATACCTTGGTGACAGATGGAATGCTCAGGTGTGAGACAGAGGTAGATGGTTGTGATGGTTATGATTCCTAAAGGGAAAGCTACCTCAAAATACCACCTCGGCTAAGAATGTCAGTGAGAAGGACCTCACGCATGAATGTAAAATGATCCTGGCTCATGTGGAACTTAGAAAATAAAATTGGAAAGATCTAAGATGTTTCTGCAATCCAAGAAGTGATGCACAGGATCTCCTCAATGTGGCGTGTGCTCAGGGGACTTCCTGAGGTGGGAGGCGTGAGTGGGGGATGGGGTGGTGGTGATGAGGAAGGTCATAAGCCTCCTGTTGGAATGACATGTGTGCTGCTGCTTGACCTCGGGTCACTGGGGACTTTGGCAACTGTTGATGTTAGGGTGATAATGTTTGGCTTTTTGGCCATCTTGTGACCAGATTCCGCTTTCTCACTTCCTCAGTATGACAACATTTTAATGGAAGAAGCTGCTCAAATTCTGGAGATAGAAACTTTTATACCTCTTCTCCTACAGGTAAGAAATTTAGATCTGAGGCAGAGTTGTACAAACATGGGGGTCCTCAGAGGGCTGCTGGGTTTGGGGTGCTGATTGTTGCATTGACCTTGTCCTTCACCTCGTTTTGCTTGGCATTTTATTTTAAGCCTATGAATTTCCTTTAATCTCTTTGTATTGCTTTGGGGAGTACTGTTTAAAATTCATGGTTTATCTACAGCCAGCATTATACTTAACAGAGAAAAACTAAAACCATTCCCTCTAAAATCAGGAACCAGACAAGGATGCCCACTATCTCCACTCCTATTCAACATAGTACTGGAATTCCTAGCCAGAGCAATTAGGCAAGAAGAAGGAATAAAAGGAATACAAATAGGTAAAGAAACTGTCACAATATCCCTATTTGCAGACAACATGATCCTATACCTTAAAGACCCAAAAAACTCTACTCAGAAGCTTCTAGACATCATCAATAGCTATAGCAAGGTAGCAGGATATAAAATCAACATAGAAAAATCATTAGCATTTCTATACACTAACAATGAGCAAACGGAAAAAGAATGTATGAAAACAATTCCATTTACAATAGCCTCAAAAAAAATCAAATACCTAGGTGTAAACCTAACAAAAGATGTCAAAGACCTCTACAAGGAAAACTACACTTCTGAAGAAAGAGATTGAGGAAGACTATAGAAAGTGGAGAGATCTCCCATGCTCATGGATTGGTAGAATCAACATAGTAAAAAATGTCGATACTCCCAAAAGTAATCTACATGTTTAATGCAATTCCCATCAAAATCCAAATGACATTCATTAAAGAGATTGCAAAATCTACCATTAAATTTACATGGAAACACAAAAGGCCACGAATAGCCAAGGCAATACTCAGTCAAAAGAACAAAGCTGGAGGTATCACAATACCTGACTTCAAAATATTACAAAGCAATAACAATAAAACAGCATGGGACTGGCACAAAACAGACATGAAGACCAGTGGAACAGAATAGAGGACCCAGATATGAAGCCAAACAACTATAACCAACTTGTCTTTGACAAAGGAGCTAAAAATATACGATGGAGAAATAGCAGCCTCTTCAACAAAAACTGCTGGGAAAACTGGTTAGCAGTCTGCAAAAAACTGAAACTAGATCCATGTATATCACCCTATACCAAGATTAACTCAAAATGGATCAAGGATCTTAATATCAGACCCAAACTCTAAAGTTGATACAAGAAAGAGTAGGAAATACTCTGGAGTTAGTAGGTATAGGTAAGAACTTTCTCAATGAAACCCCAGCAGCACAGCAACTAAGAGATAGCATAGATAAATGGGACCTCATAAAGCTAAAAAGCTTCTGTTCATCAAAAGAAATGGTCTCTAAACTGAAGAGAACACCCACAGAGTGGGAGAAAATATTTGCCAACTATACATCAGACAAAGGACTGATAACCAGAATATATAGGGAACTTAAAAAACTAAATTCTCCCAAAACTAGTGAACCAATAAAGAAATGGGCAAGTGAACTAAACAGAACTTTCTCAAAAGAAGAAATTCAAATGGCCAAAAAACACATGAAAAAATGCTCACCATCTCTAGCAATAAAGGAAATGCAAATTAAAACCACGCTAAGATTCCACCTCACCCCTGTTAGAATAGCCATCATTAGCGACACCACCAACAACAGGTGTTGGTGAGGATGTGGGGAAAAAGGAACCCTCTTACACTGTTGGTGGGGATGTAGACTAGTACAACCACTCTGGAAAAAAAATTTGGAGGCTACTTAAAAAGCTAGACATCGATCTACCATTTGATCCAGCAATTCCACTCTTGGGGATATACCCAAAAGACTGTGACACAGGTTACTCCAGAGGCACCTGCACACCCATGTTTATTGAGGCACTATTCACAATAACCAAGTTATGGAAACAGCCAAGATGCCCCACCACTGACGAATGGATTAAGAAAATGTGGTATCTATACAGAATGGAATTTTATGCAGCCATGAAGAAGAACGAAATGTTATCATTCGCTGGTAAATGGATGGAATTGGAGAACATCATTCTGAGTGAGGTTAGCCTGGCCCAAAAGACCAAAAATCGTGTGTTCTCCCCTCATATGTGGACATTAGATCAAGGGCAAACACAACAAGGGGATTGGACTATGAGCACATGATAAAAGCGAGAGCACACAAAGGAGGGGTGAGGATAGGTAAGACACCTAAAAAATTAGCTAGCATTTGTTGCCCTTAACGCAGAGAAACTAAAGCAGATACCTTAAATGCAACTGAGGCCAATAGGAAAAGGGGAACAGGTACTAGAGAAAAGGTTAGATCAAAAAGAATTAACCTAGAAGGTAACACCACGCACAGGAAATCAATGTGAGTCAACTCCCTGTATAGCTATCCTTATCTCAACCAGCAAAAACCCTTGTCCCTTCCTGTTATTGCTTATACTCTCTCTACAACAAAATTAGAAATAAGGGCAAAATAGTTTCTGCTGGGTATTGAGGGGTTGGGGGGGAGAAGGAAGGGGTGGAGTGAGTGGTAAGGGAGGGGGTGGGGGCAGGGGAGAGAAATGAACCAAGCCTTGTATGTACATATGAATAATAAAAAAAAAGAAAAGAAAATTCATGGTTTATATCTACAGCATAGTTTTGAGAAAACAACAATTTTAATCAAGAAAATCACATTGTTGCACAGCTTGAAGGGAAAATGAGTTCTCTTCATTGGTTTTGTGAGAGTATTTCTAGAACTGTCTGTTATGTTCACTGTGTTGCTTTTCTCTATTTTATGCCTAATCTTTTGAGCCAAATAGTGATATTTTACGAATGATTCTTACTGTGAAATACTCTCTCCTACTGAAGCATTAAAAACAAGATTTGGGATTGGCAGTTTGAATAGACTGCTCTAAGTTACAGATACATTGAGTTACAGAAGGTTTTTGTAGGAGCCAAGCTCTTCGGAACCTAGCATATTTTATCCAGTGCAGGGTATGTTTCAAGGAGCAAGGAGGCGTGGAGAGTAGGAAGTGAAAGTGGCAGTGGAGTTTCACTGTCTTGCAGGGCTCAGAACTGGTAGACAGGTGTTCCTTTGAGTCTTCCTCTTTCTGCTCCCGGGCATCCATTCCTTTGTGTACGCACCCTTTGCCTAAATTTGCTTCAGGACCTCTGTAGATTTCCCAGCTGCTAAAGTAGGGCTGTTCCACACTTGCCCTCTCAGTCAGTCCTTCCTCCACACATGGTTCACCGGCATCCTGTGCGTTTGCCAAGCTCCCATGTGGTGAAGAGCAGATGTCTCACATGATGAGTTAGAGACTGACTGGAAGATGTGCTGATTACAGAATGCTGCTGTTTCCTCTTCTCGCTCTAGAACCCTCAGGATGGATTCAGCCGCCTGAAGCGGTGGATTATGATTGGTGACCATCACCAGTTGCCTCCAGTGATTAAGAACATGGCCTTCCAGAAGTATTCCAACATGGAGCAGTCTCTCTTCACTCGCTTCGTCCGGGTCGGGGTTCCTACCGTGGACCTCGATGCTCAAGGGAGAGCCAGGGCCAGGTAGAGGGTACGGGGAAAATGTCACTCCTGTGTAACTGAACTCTGTGACCGAGTGCTGCAGGCTTTGCTGTGTCAGCTTTAACCTGCCCTCTACAGATCAGAAAGCACCTGTCTTGCCTTCTGCTGGAGGTGTGAAGTGACCACATAAGTTACTTGCTTCATTCTGCCGATTGAGAGCTCTTTAAGTGACTTCTAATGTGGTGCCTTCATTGTCCTTCCCCTTTCTTTTCTTTTTGGCAGTACTGAGGTTTGAACTCATGCTGGCTAGGCAAGCACTCTATTTCTTGAGCCAGGCCCCCAGATATTTTCACCTTAGTTTTTCTTAGATAGGTCTCATTATCTTGCATGATCTTCCTCTCTGCCTCACACATAGCTTGGATTACAGGCATGAGCCACCACTCTTGGCTCCCTTCCCATTTCTTCATGTCCCCAAAAGATACACAGTTAATGTAATTTTGAAACATGAAGCCAAAGTGAGCAAGAGGGGAATTCACCAGTCCTCACTTCATAAAGAACTCTAGCTCCATAGTTCTCCATTTATCAGGTCTTCCCTGAGTTTTTAATTTATGACAATAGCGTTTTACTTCAGAGAGCTCAGTAGAGCTGTTGCTTTTGTAATATCTTCAGTCTCCTGACTGTTTGTGACTTGAAGTAAGGTTTAAAAGGTGAACAAAGTGGGTGACATGGAACGTAAAGGGAGCTCTCAGCCTTAGGAACTTCTTCGTGAGTGTTAAAATGGACTTCATGTTCTGATCTCTCCTGTTTGGGGTTTTGTTTTGGAAAGCTTGTGTAACCTGTACAACTGGCGATACAAGAACCTGGGAAACTTACCCCATGTGCAGCTCTTGCCAGAGTTCAGCACAGCAAATGCTGGCTTGCTGTACGACTTCCAGCTCATCAACGTGGAGGACTTCCAGGGAGTTGGGGAGTCTGAGCCCAATCCTTACTTCTATCAGGTAAAACACGAGGCTTTCGGATAGTTTGTAAGAGCCTGGCCTGCAGTGTCTCACAGTCCCGCAATGCTGAGCTGTGTAGCATTGCAAAAGGGAAAGTTTAGAGCATCACCTTCCACATGGCACACACAAGTCAGTCTCAGGTGGATTAAAGAAGAACCAAAGAAACAAAGCTGTGACCTCACTGGAAAGTACTGAGTCAATGTTGATGACATGCACATTTCCAAAGAGTTGGAAAGTCCGCCAAATGAGTGCTGTCTGCACTGAGGCAGCACATTTGAAGAGTTAGTGTCTGAGAACAGGACAGAGGCATGAGTAAAAGTGACTAATTTGAAGTGCCCTGGACCTGCTTGGCCCAGGTTCTAAAGTGTTTGTTAAAATGAAGTTCACATTGTTCTATAAGCAGATTATTAAATCAGGCAGTGTTCATTTTTCACATGAACACAGAAGTGGATTCTGTTTGTTGAGAGCCCATTGTGTTAATCTTGTCTAAAATACCTAAGTCCTGAAAACTGAATTTCAGCTCTACCTTTTATTATGGTCATTCCATGATTCCCAGTTTGTTCTTTTACCTATATTAGAGCCGATACTTAGATAATGTATTTTTGCTACCAGTAGTCATGTGGCTTCTTTTCTCACTCACCTTCTAAAGAACTAGAAAATTTAAATAAAAGGTAGTTCAGGCTGTTCACCAGGAACCAGAATATAAATGGTATTTTTGACAGTCTTTCAGTAATTTTCCTCTTGCCTTTGCCTGAAATTCAGCACTTGTCCTCTTGATTGTCACACCATGTTTATGCTCATTTGACATTCCGTCTCATCCGGTCCTTGGAATGTGGTCTCCACTGAACTGGCCCAACTGGCTTTAAGTTATTTCTTATCCAGTTCTAACGAGAGCCTCTAATTTTACCAGTAAGCCACACTGACGAGCTTGAGTCAGAACAAAAGTTGGAATAGAGCAAAAACAAAACACACAGAAAAGGCATCAGGAAACACAAGGGTGTAAGAAAGTCTGTTCAGGAGTTAAGTCAGCTGTAGGATTCAGGTGTACGCTATTAGACTATGTTTTGTGTTGGCTTTTGGATAAATTCCTTCCTTTATACTACAATTTCTTTTCATTAATACAGAGTTGAAATGCACTCTATAGAATATTGTGCATTTATCCTGATTATTGGGGTTCCAAGAGTATTAGATCTTTAAGTTGGTAACTGTTAGGATTGTGCCATGTACCATAAACACATTGCAAATGTCAAAGTTTTTATTAGTATTACCTATAATAAGCTTATCTCTCACTAGTACCAAAACTGTTCATGTGTTCACTTCTTGAGGTGAGCAAGTTGTACTGGATAAGCCATTTTGTCTATAAAATTGAAGGTAAGGAAAAGAATGCACTACGTGGCTGTGTTTGCCTTACAGAATCTTGGAGAGGCAGAGTACGTAGTAGCACTCTTTATGTACATGTGCTTGCTTGGCTACCCTGCAGACAGGATCAGCATTCTGACCACATACAACGGGCAGAAGCACCTTATCCGTGACATCATCAACAGACGCTGTGGGAACAACCCACTGATTGGAAGGCCAAATAAGGTGATTTATTACCAGTTATTTGTATTGCTCCGCTTTGGATTCCTCTTAAGGTGTATGAGAAGATGAAATCATAGGGACCGTAAATCTGGGGGCAAGCCTATCTGTCGATGAAATCATCGAAACAGCAAATCCAGGGCAATCCTATCTAACAGTTTGACTGCTCTAACATCTTCCATCTCAGCTACCACATTGAAGACCTGTTGATAGTGATCAGAAACAAATGTGTTTTTTTGGTTTTTTTTTTTTTGGTAGTACTGGGGATTGGACTCGCTCAGGGCTTCGCACTTGCTAGGCAAGTGCTCTACCATTTGAGCCAAACCCCAACATAGAAACAAATGTTTCTAAAACATTTTATTGATAAAATGATGACTTAGAAAATTTCATTATAATTTATGCACTGTTCCAGAAATATGAGCTGTAGTATTTTGTTTTGTTTTTTGCAAACATATAATTTGGACTGCTTTGTGGTGGGGGTTGTCTGGGAGATAAGTGAAGATTGCAAAGTGTATTCAGACCTCAAGATTAAACTTTTTGTGTAAAGAAATGTGAGTATAAAGGATTGAATAAATAGAGAATAACAAAATATAAATATGGTGTTACTAATGATAAAATTAGGGCTGTGGTTTTCTACATGTCAGTGTAAAAGCTCTTTTGCCTTTTCTCAGAAATCATCTAAAAGTAACAAAAACAGGAGGAGGAGGAGGGAGATAAACTCCATTTTTAGTGAAATTACGTAGATCAGGTGACTAAGATCAGTTAGAAAACATGGGAGAAAAAGAATTTAGGGAATGAGAGTGAAAGTGCTACAAAAGTACAGTTTCTGAAAAAGAGAGGACCACTTGCAATGTGAGAGTTACATCCACATTTTCCAACAGTGTGTGTGGGAATCTGGGTGAGCAGAGGCCTTCCTGATCCCAGATTGGACCAAAGAAGCCTGGAGGAGAGCAGTGTCTGCAAAATGTAGACTGTCTGCAGGAATAGAGGAAAACATCCAGCCCTTAGAAAACCATCTCGCTCCTAAGCCCCAACTTAACTTCTTACACATAGCTGATCTTACTCAATGAGAAACAGTACAGAGGGTTAGCACGGCTCAGTTTACATGTGAAAATTGCCAACACACAGACAAGGTAGACTGGGTGCAGTGGTGCAGCTGTTAGGATGGCTGAGGCAGGCGGATTGCTAGAGCCTAGAGTTTGAGAGAGAGCCATAGACAAGATACACACTTCAGAGAGCATGTGATATAGAACACAAGATTTAAAATACATATTTTGTATTTTAAATTTTTTAATACGTGGCAAAGTAGCTATTTCTATAAAATACTTAGTGAAGGATACAAAGCAGAGAAATGTAAGAATTCTGGAAGAGGTGAAGTGTGAGCTAGAAAAAGTAAAATGAAAATCAAAAGGAACACAGACAGGCATAGATGCCATGGAGGAGTGAAAAGGAGAAACACACAGGCCTCAAGTCCTGTCTCTTCCCCAGAAGATGGAAATCAGGTGTTCACAGCAGTCTGCGGGGTCTCAGTGAGGTGACCAAATGACCTTGTGTCCACATCCTCAGTGCAGCCCAGCTCTTGGGCTGTATCAGTGTAACTCAGCTCTCAGGCCATATCAGTGCAGGCAGGCTCTCCTCATGGTCAGGGTAGCAGTGCCAACACATAATAGCAGAGGACTTACATTCAGAATATGTGTTACTAAATAAGACATCCGGTTCCAAATGGGCAAGTGAATTGAACAGATGCTGTTCACAGGATGACTTGCACGTAACCAGTAAGACCACCCCTCCCCCAAATGCTTTACATCATTGGCTGCTGCGTAAGTTAAGGCACAAAGAGATGCTGCAGCACAGGGGCCAGAAGTGTGGCTCTGACCGAAGATTGCCTGCCTCACACACGTGAAGTGCTGAGTTCAGAGACCAGGACTGACACCCAGTAGAATGGGTAAGATGGTCAAGACCGAGGATGCCAGGTGTGGGCAAGGATGTGGAGTGGCACAGCATGGACATCACTGGTGAGTTTGTGAATCTGTGCAGCCACTCTGGGAGACACTGACAGGGTCTCATCAAATTCAGCTCATGTACAGCCCAGCAGTTTCACTCCCAGCAATGAAAACATACGTCCACAAAAATACTTGACTTCAGCGTGCAGTGCATCTTCATCCAAAACAGCTCCAAGCTAGACATGGTCAGCATGTCCATGTGAGTGAAAAACCACTCATGGCGTGTTCACTCATGAGCGCTGCTTAGCAGTAAAACAGTGCACACCCATGGAGCCATCTCAGAGCGTCATGCTGCGTGGAAGATGCCAGACAGATGCCTAGTTGTCCACACACATGGGCATGTTTCCTCATAATCTGACTGCCCCTCTGCAGAGCTGACTTAGAAGGAAGTGTGTTGTGAGTGTCCCAAAGGCAGAGGGACCATTAATTATGTTCTCTGTAGGGTAAGCAATAAAACTTTTTCTCAGGTGGCTAACAGAAGTAACTAAAACTTCCTAAACTTCCTTGTTTATACTTGTACTTACGGACCAAACAAAAAGTGCTAAGAAGATCATTGGCTTTGTTTCTTTGACAGAAGAATGCTGTCAAATAGTAAGGCTAGATGTGAAATAGTAAGTTACATTTCTGAGCATTGGACATTAAACCAGTTAATAAGCTAGACATAGACCCGCCTTCAGGAGGCGATTTGGCTGTCTACTGGGGGAAGGCTGAATTCTGAAGGCAGTTAAATTATTAGCAAAGGTTAAGATGGGCCAAGCGTTGCAGCCTGCTGTGGTAACTATGGATCATGCATTGTTCATCTCGTGTTCAGTAACCTGTTCTTGCAATCCCAAGTTTATGATAACATTTCCTTGGGGATTGAGTATCTTAAAGGTAAGGTATTTATTTATTTTAATCTCTAGAGCCTTTTTATTCTGCTTTCGAAAACATCATATTTCCCCTTTTTCTCGTAGGTGACAACTGTTGATAGATTTCAAGGTCAACAGAATGATTACATTCTTCTTTCTCTGGTACGAACCAGGGCAGTGGGCCATCTAAGGTGAGAGGGAAAAAGTTTTCACCGTTTTATTGAACTCGACTCCTGAAATTTTGAACTGGGTGTGAAGCCGGTCTCCTTCCCTCTAAGTTTATGCTGTACTTGATGATGCAGGGGTGCTTCTTCTTAGAATGTAGCATGGCCGACCTTCCTGTGGCTCACCACTTCTGTTGCTGCTCAAGTTCATACACCCACGTGTTAGTGGGGAAGGCAGTTCCTCTCCCTCATTAATATTAACTTTTTCACTGGTTAGTCACATTCATAGATGGCATTTTTGGCAACAGGGTGGAAAACAGAGTAAGTTTTCCACAGCACAGTGTATCTCATCTCTCTCCCCAATCTCTCACTTCAGTGTTAGGGTGTAAAGGAGGATTTGTCCTCCCAGGATTTAGAGTTGTCACACAAACAGTAACCTATTCTTATTACTTCTTTTTCTTTTTTGGCAGCACTGGGGTTTGAACTCAGGGCCTCACATTTACTAGGCAGATGCTCTACCATTTGAGCCACTCCACCAGTCCCTTTTTATCATTTGTGGTGGTGTATTTCTGTGCTGAATATTAGTGAATAATATTACATCACGGCCATTTAGTTTTATATAAGTCTTCGTGTCGTGACTTTCCAGCAGAACTACATGGAGCATTCATCGTGTTATTTTGTCTGGTGGGTATAATAACAAATCCTCACTCTCTAGTAATATTTTCATTAGGTGGAGTCTGTTGGAGACTTTGACTAGTGATATGATTATCAACTTTATGTGCGAGAAAGCAAAGGTGATGTTTTAAGAAGTTGTTCCAAGATAATAGAGTACTTTTGCCTACTTATTATGGTGCCAAGCACATACTTAAGAGTCCTTTCCAAAAAGCATTTCCTTTTTTTCCTCACTGACATTGATAACTACATCTGAATGGTGTTTTACATAAATCTCTCAAAAACTTCCAGTATGAATGTAAGATTCTGATGATAAAACTCTTGTAAACAGAGGGTAAAAAGAACCTGATTTCAGTATTGCCCTGAAAGTCAAAATTTCCTAAGCAAAAACTGATCCAAATGACCAGATCGTCTTTGATTTGCCACAGTGTCCTTCTGAAATGGAACTTCTTTGTTAGCAGGTCCTAGTGGTGGCAGTGTCCGCACAGAGGCTCTGTCCATTCAACTCTCATTTCTGGTTCTAGTTACCCACATGGGTCATTCTAGTATCTTAGCCAGAATCTTATCAAATTCTTCCTACAAGTTTGGTTTTAGAGCTGGTCCTTCATACCCTTCCCTGTTTATGTCACAGAGGCCAAGGAAAGCTACTTCCTGCCATATTTCATCTTTCCATAGCAGCTTTGAGATGTGATTCACATTCCATGCAGCTCACCTGTGCTAAGAATACAATGCAGTGGTTTTTTGTGCATTCACAGAATTGCGCAACTGTCTCCTAAACCAGCCTCAGAATGTTTCCATTTCCTGAGCAAAAAGTCTTATGATTATTAATACTCACACCCTTTCCTCCCCCCAAACCCTTGGCCAGCACCAGTCTACTTTCTGTCTCTGTGGATTTGCTTATTAATAGAAATGGAATCATAACCTGGATGGGCAGGTAGCTCATGCCTGCATTCCCAGCTACTCTGGAGGCAGAAGTCAGAAAGATAGAAGTTAGTGAGACCCTATCTCAACAGACAAGCTGGACAAGGCAGTGCACATTTGGAGTCTCATCTTTGAGGAGGGCAGAAGAGGAAGACCAAGGTCCAAGACCAGCCTTGGGCAAAAACGAGACTCTAGCTGAAAAATAAGTGAACAAGGGCTGGGGCACGAGGCTCAAGTGGCAGAGCTGCTGTGGAGCAAGCATGAGACCATGAGTTCAAACCCCAGTACTGCCAATAAGAGAGAGAAATGTGAGGAAACAGAAACAGTTACAGTCATATGTATAAAGCAATGTGGTTATGGTTCTCTGAGAAGTAAAATTTGACCTTGATGGAGCCTGGGTTGGCAGAAAGAAATGGTTCAGATGACTGCATGGTGAACACAGTGCGTTGGCAACCTGCATCGCAGCTGTGCATGGTACTCATGGGGCTTCTTAAATAAAATTTAAAACCCAAGATGTTAGTGACAAAGAATCACTTTCTACTTGGCTCACTAGTGATATGATTATCAACTTTATGTTTATTAAGTACTCAGAAGCTTAATTTTTGTGGTGCTGTAGTTTCTCTGGAATATGTTTAAAAAGAACGAATAGGTTGCATAATTATGTTACTAATCTTTATTTCTCAAAGGGACGTCCGTCGCTTGGTGGTGGCCATGTCTAGAGCCAGGCTTGGACTGTACATCTTCGCCAGAGTTTCCCTGTTCCAAAACTGCTTTGAGCTCACTCCAGCTTTCAGCCAGCTCACGGCCCGCCCGCTTCATTTGCATATAATTCCAACCGAGCCCTTCCCAACCACTAGAAAGGTGGGCATTCTTCCAAGAGGCAGAGCGGTGGGGGCATGGGCAAGGAGCCTAAGGAACTAAGGAACGGAATGAGAGCCTCTGTAACGTTCACAGAGCACCTTCCATGCACCAAGCAGTTAACCCTGCAGGCATACTTCATTTCATCCAACAATAACCCTGTTCAGATTTCCTTTTAACCCCATTTACATAGAGGAAACCTGGGGAGAGAAGTTAATAGTTTCACCCTGCATCTAGTATGGTGGAGGATCCAAGGTTCAGAACACAGGCATTCTGATTCCAGAGTCCACAGCGCTAATCGCTGCTCTGGCTGCTCTGTACCTCCGCTCTTCAGCTTGGTAACTTACTAACAGAGGCAAAAACAGTTTTGAAGCAGCTTGCATTTTTGGGGAATGGGGGACAGAAGAGCTCACATACCAAACAACAGATTCAGAAGTGCCCCTACTTTATTCCTCCCTCTTCCACCTGTTTCCTACTACCTCCCCAGACAAGCTGTTATATGGTTTATCCTTGCACTCTTTTGCACAAAGGAGCAGATCCTTATTTATTTTCTTAGATTATTTGTTTCTTATGTGAAGGTTAGCACACTATAGACTTTTGAGTTTTGCTTTTTTCATGTAGTGAAATGTCCTGGAGGTCCATTAGGTTTTAAGTAAAATTGTAAGTGTTCACGGTATACATACCAATCCTGTCATATTGTTGTCAGAAATTGCTCCCTAAAAACCACCTCACTGTATCCCAGACTTCCCAACCTACTCTCAGGGGCTGCAGCCGAGGCACCTGCAGTCTAACAGTGACCCCCCAAGGGAACTCTGACAGCTACTACTAAGTTTAACAGGCAGCATTTGAATAGTTGCCTCCATGACTAACAGTCTACATGTTAAATAATAATAAATATTAACTTCTTATGTTTTAGACAAACATAATTAATCAGGGCCTTTCTGATTATCTCAACTGTCTTTGGAGCATGCACAGTATCGAAAACTGCTGCTTTGGCCCATGTTGATACCTGTTCAGATTATTTTCTTTTGTTCTTCTACATCCATCATTAGACTAGAACCCACACTTCATTTATCAGCCCAAAATTGTCTCGAAGGCTGGTGACCCTTAACTTTCCTAGTCTCTGCCTTTCTGAATTCAGATGGAATCATGCTCTTCATGACATACTCATTGGGCTCTCACACCTGCATCTGGTGCCCTCCAAACCCTAGTCATAGTGCGTGTTGATGAGCTCAAGAAGGGCAGATATGAAAATGTTAGTTCCTAGGGCTTCTTCACAAGAAACTTCCCTTTCTTTCTGCCTTCTAGAATGGAGAAAGACCATCTCACGAGGTACAGATAATCAAGAATATGCCCCAGATGGCAAACTTTGTGTACAACATGTACATGCATTTGATACAGACCACACACCATTATCAACAGGTGAGTACCTCCACCTGAACTACAGTAGGGCTTCATGCAGCATTCCTGTTCTTGAAACGTCTTCTCTGGGTAGAATTTGGAATATAATAAAGTGACATGTTCAAAATGTACAATTTGATATGCTCTGACTGATCCCTGTGAAGCCATCACCACAGCCATGATAATGAGCACATCTATTACCCCCAAAAGTTGCCTTTGCCTTCTTGTAATCACTCCTTGTTCTCCTCAGTGCCCTTCTCACCTCCCTAGGCCAGCTCCATTTTCCAGGCATTTGTGTGAATGGAGTCATACAGCCTGAGTTCTTTTCTTTATGCTGCTGCATTACCAGTAGTCCATTCCTTTTTTGTGCTGAGTAGTTGTGTATTGTATGGATATACCATGTTTACTCATTCACTTATCAGCAGATAATACATACAAGTCTGCACTTTCTCTTGGGTGTAACCCTAGGAGTGGAATGGCTGGATAACTTTTTACGTGTATGAGACAATCTGCCAGCCTCTTTTTCAAAGTGGTTGTTCCTCGATGTCCTCTCTCCGGGTGTGAGAGTGGTGGTTCTGCATTCTCACTGCACGTGATATGCTAAGTGTTCCTTGTTTTAGCAGCTGGGACAGATGTGCAGAGAGCTTAGTGTGGTTTTTACATTTTTTCCCTAATTTGAATGTTCTCATGATTATTTGCCACCTGTCTATCTTGTTTGGGAATGTGTCTGCTTAGATTGCTGGGTTTTATTGTTAAGAGTTTTGAGAGGTTTTAATGTACTTCAGCTATAGAACTTATACCAGGTACATGTTTTACGAATATTTCCTTATAGACTAACTTGTTTTTTTGAATTTTTTAAAGTATCTTTCAAGGAGAAGTTTTGAATCTTGATGTTCCGTGTATAAAATTACTCTCTTGTGATTCATGCTTTGTATCTTAAAATACTGAGTTTAACCCAGAGTTACAAAGCTTTCCCTCTAACAGTTGTGCAGTGTGGCACCTACAGGTATGGTGTGTTTTGAGCTTCCATTTGAACGTCTCAGCACCATTTCTGGAGTAAACTGCTTTATTCTCTTGTGACCCACTGTGATCTCAGTCACAGCATCATGTGGCGTGGACGCTCATGCTCGGTGTGTCCTCTCATCCTTGTCACACTCCCTTGACTGCAGCAGCGCAGCTCGAAGCTCCACTTTAGACGTGGCGACTACAAGGAGAGAAGCTACACCTTAGCTCCAGACTGCCATGGCTAGAGGCGACACTAGGCACCTGCAGCTGCTCCAACTTGTAGTTGAACGAGATGGAAGCCTGCACTCTGCCCTCCCTCCCTGCCATGGCCTCCAGGCTTGCTCCTCTCCACCCATCAGGGCACCTTCATCACAGCCGACCCTCCTCTGAGCTGGTGTGGCAGTCAGGCCTGGTCATCCACTGTTTCCTTATACGTGTTACACCAGATGCCTTTGCCCAAAACCTGACAGCGTATTACGTTGTCTTTCTGAAGACTTGGCGTTTGATCACTAACATGCCATAATTGTGTAGATGTAATCCTTCCTGTTAGTGGAACACAGTCTTACATCTGTCATGTGACGGGCAGCTTAAGGAAGATGACATGACAGCTTAGCTTTATAAAATGGTTTTTTTTTTTTGTATTTTCACTTGAACTCATATTGGTGTCGTCTTCTCTTTTTATTAGACCTTCTTACAGCTACCACCGGCTATGGTGGAAGAAAGTGAGGAAGTTCAAAATCAAGAAACAGAATTGGAAACAGAAGAAGAGACTGTGCCTGCTCATGCCGATAGCACCCCTAGTCCAACAGATGCCAGCTGCAGTCACGAGACCCCCCCAGCACAGACAGAGGTCACCCCTGCTCCGTGTGAGGCCGCTGCTCCTGGAGCAGGGCCTGACACGGCCCCAGCAGACACTGAGTAGCCAGACTGTAACCTTCTGAGGGAGGGGGGACGCCTCCTTCATGAAGCCCCAGTGAAGTTACTTTTGTATTTTACATTTGCTCCTACTGTTTCAGTGCCACTAAGGTTCAGTCCTTATTTTTATAACTGGTTTCCTTGTCTTGTATATATATATATTTTTTAAATCGTATATATGTGAACAATTCCTGTTTTGTTTATTTAATCAGAAGGGCAAATAACCATTCCTTTGATTTTTTTTTTTTTTTTTTTTTTTTTCAGGACTGGGGTTTGAACTTGGCCTTTTCTTGCTAGGCAGATGCTCTACCACTTGAGCCCTTCTTTTGCTGTTTTGATCACTGAATGTATCTGACCTATATTAAAGTATTTTTCTGTAGAATACATAAGAAATACTGCTTAGTGTGAACTTTAGGAAGCAGGACAGAATACACTGGAGTGAGTATAAATGCCTGTGAGCTCATAACCCAGAGTAGGGAACAAGGTGTTCCTTCTTCTGTTAACCTGTCTCATGCTCAGTTCTGTGCCTTTTTCTTCATCTCTTTCGGTAAGGACATTAACAACCGTGAGGTAAAGTTCTCTCCAGTCTATCACAGAATTGCATGCGTTTCATTCCCCCGAGTCTGGAGCTGCATGAGGACACCTCAGATGTCTCGTCCCTTCAGGTCTAATAAGTCAGAATTCAGACAGGGCAGGTTCTCCACACCACCATGGCATCAGATAAGGCTAGAGAGGCGGAGCCAGGTTCTGTCATTCAGCTGAATGCAAAGCCTGGCAAATCTCTGTGGGCAGCACGGGCGTGCAGGCTGAGCTCCCGTTTACAGACGGGACATCTCCCCACGCAGGATTCTCAGTTGTGCGCCCTGTTTATTTTGTTGGTAGGTAACCAGGCCAAGTGTGCTTCAAACATGGGAGGACAGAGTTACCAGGACCTTGCTACACAAGTGAGGTTAGCGAACTAGTAGCACTAGTGTCGTATGGAAGTGGTTTTTTTTGACAGTCCTCAGGTGGTTCATGTACACCTGTGGTCTGAGCAGTTTTGTGTTTGGTCCTGTGCTATCCTTACGTGAATTGAGGCCACGGTGGTAGAATTGACAGTGTGACCAGCGTTTGCTGGTAAATGCCCGCTGCCCATGAGGACCCTGGGCATGGTGGCCAGAGGCAGAAGACAAGAACTGGGTATGTGTCTGGGGGGTGGGGAAGTTCCCATTCTGATCATTTGCTAGAGTGGCTGAGGGGAGTTTCCCCAAGGTGTCCCTCTAGTGTGCGTCCAAGGGATCTTTGCAGAAATAAGCAAGAACGACACAGTGCCATTGAAGCCATCTAATCCTGATGCACTACAAGGAATGATTGATTTTAAGGAAATTAAACCCAGTCATTAAGTCATTTCTGCTAAGTGACGAGTGTGCTCAGCGCCAGACTTGGTGGATGTGAGCCCCTCTATCATCTTACAGCCCCTCTGCACAGAATCCCTGTGTAAGTGTTAGGTAAAAAGATGTTAAAAAGACGGAAATGCCCAGGAAGCCCTGGGTATTCGTTACCAGAGCAAGGATCAAGCCAGACAATGTGATATAATTTGATGTAAGATTTGAAGGCAGGTGTGTGGGATGTGTGTGGGGAATAGCACTCAAGGAGTTGTTTTCAACAAATACAGCAGCTTTGCTGTATTACCCTCTTTTCTGGAAAAGATTGATTTTTTTTCTGTCCTTCAGCGGATATGAATTATGGTATCTGCAACCCAAATAAGCACAGTTGGGAGGCAGCTTTCCTGAATCAACCACTTCCAAACTACCTACCACTCTCTAGCGGGGGGACCATACTTTTGGCTTTGATATTTGGTTTTTCTACCACACTAAAAAGTAATGAAGGTGGAAGATGTGTAAGCCCTTTGTCAAAGGAATTGAAAGGAGGGTGGGATTTGAATTTTAAATTATTCACTCACTGGGAAGACCAGGGAGTTACATTTGACTAAAAATTATTTATTTTACAAAGTCCCCACAGGAGGGAGGGTCCCAAATGGGTTGCCCCAGATTCACACAATTTTTAAGGGAAGTTGGAAGATTGATTTATTTCTCAAACAATGAGGAAACACAATAGAGACACCTAACCTGGGTGGCTCCCCCAGACCTGACTGGGGAACAGGAGCAGTGTCCAAGTCCACTGTCGGAAGAGAACACTTTGATTTTTTTCTAGATGGAATGTGGGTGATGGCTCCACAGACACAGGAGTTCTCTGATTTTGGATTGGTTCCAACAGACACCAAGTTGCTGTGCGACTTTGATTAGCGCTCCCACTGTGCTCTGTCCTCCCCGAATATTTGAATATGTCATGATTTTGGAATCTATTTTTAAAAGGGGACCAGAAAGATGCGTGCCGGGAGAATGAGCGTGAAATGAAGCAATTCAAGTATTGAGGCTTTTTCCCCAAAAATGCTGAGTTATGAAAGTTCATTGCCAGCAGCTAAGAATAAGTATCTCCATTGATTTGGGCAAGTGAATAGGAAGAACTAAGCCATATCAGGACTCTTGAGGCTGGAGTGATGATAAAGTTGGGGTGTTTGGCTAGATAGTGAGAAAGTGTGTAAATGGGTCTTTTTTTTTTTCTTTTATATAATGAGACAGCGTAACAGTATAAACTGACTTTGGACTTGCCTAGACCTGGCTTGGAATTTACCTCACTTATCAGTCTTTGTTGTAACCTTGGACAAAGTTTGTTATCACTAAGCACCAGCTTCATCCATAAAACAGAAAAACTATTCTTCAGGCTGTTTTGGTTTCTTTGTTTTAGGGCATGATGTTTATAAAAACTATCTAGCAACCTAAGTGCTCTGTCCCTGTAAACATCAGTCCTCTCCTTTCATTTCCCCCCCAAGCCTTTGTGACAGTTGGGATATTGCCAGCTCATCTGTAACAGCACTTAGCTTTGAGGACGATGAAGAGGACCAGTGGTGGCAGCTGACTTAAGGATCAAGGTCAAGTCTACTGACAGTCCATTGTAACATCATGGATGGTTTCTGCTGAAATTAAAGGACTCTTAGAACAATGTGACAGAGGAAGTCACTAGGTCCCACCAGGCTTCTGATATGGATAATTTTTATCCATATATCAGAATCCGTACTGCCCCTCCCTTCAGCCATTTGTAATGTTCATTTGCTTAACTATGTGCCTTGAATGTATTAACTTGCTGTCATTCAAATGATAGAGATTCTTCTTCAGTTACAGTGATACAAGAGATTTTTTTTAAAACATTGACTCTTTTGCACAAGCCAGAGGAGCAGTTGAAGATGATCAGTGCCTTGCTTCCTGTGAAAAAATTGTTGGTGGTTACCCTTTGTAATTACCAAGCAATCATGTTAATAGATGTTTAAGAATAACAGCACTGGGCTGTGCTGAGCCAGGCATGGAAATGAATACATGCGGGGCTGTTTTTCCTGCATCCACTGGCATCCCAAAACGGTTTTCACTGCGTGGAACCCGACCCTGTGGACGCCCTAGTTTTAGTTCACAGGGACAAGCCCTAGCTCACCAGTCCCCAGGAGTGGATCAGAATGCAGCTAAGCTTACTCGCTTAGCTTTCTGCTACTCTAGTTCAGTGGCTGGTTAAAACTTTTGTACTTACATACAAAGATGTCTGACCCTATTTCTTACCATATATTACAGAAAATATTAGACTTGAAAAATCCTGGAAAAGCATGTTCCATGATCAAATAAATTTGGGAAACAAGATTTCTTATTATTAGCTAACAACATTGTTAGCTATTCGCTCAGACACAGTTTGGAAGAACTTGTACTTCTCATTAGAAAATAAACCCAAATACATTTCTGCCAATAAGTAACCAGAGGCCAAAGTAACAGAGCTAAGAGAAAACGAGGTGAGATGATGTGTACAAAATGTCACTTCTAGTGTAATTTGCCGGATGTCAACAGGCATTACTAGTGAATCCTGGAAATGCAAATTAGTAAGTTTGGCCAGTATTCTGAGACACTCCTTCATGTGGGCCACCTGAGAAAACGTCACCAAGCACTCTCTCTTCACATCTTCATTTGAGGCTCCAGAATTTCACACCGACCTTGTCTTCTGGTCTCCTACCTGCCCTAAGAGTTTGTGCTTCAGATGTGTCTATTCCTTCTTTTTCCTTAAAAAGTTGAAATCCCAAAAAAAAGAAAAGAATTATTTAACATAGCCAGTAGGGTGGGCCAGAAGTAATGGAAGAAAATTGAGGCAAATGGAAAAAAAGGCCAGGCACCAGTGGCTCACACCTGTAATCCTAGCTACCCAGGAGGCAGAGAGCAGAGGATCGTGGTTCGAAGCCAGCCTGGGCAAGTAGTTCATGAGACCCTATCTCGAAAAAACCTTTCATAAAGTCTGGTGGAGTGGTTCAAGGTGAAGGCCCTGAGTTCAAACCCCAGTACCACAATAAAATAAAAATGAGTCCAGTTTCCTTTGATGAGAATGTTTAACACAGGACCCCAGAGTTACCTTACATCAGACATGGTGAATTCTGTTGGCTGATCTCCAGAGGTGGCTGCCCCATAGTCTTCTTCCCTCCACGTTGGTGAGCATGTTACATATGCCCCACACCTGACTCTGTCTTGGTAGCTGAGTTCCAGAACCTCAAAGGCAGCCATCTCTATTTGGTTTAATATAAAAAGCTCTCTTGAAAAGCTGAGCTTAGTGACTTTTCAAAAAGTCCACAGTTCTGGATTGTCATCGTTTAAAGGCAGAATTTATTAATATTTTGAATAAGGAATGCATTTTTGTGATTAAAAAGTATAATAACATATTAGCCCTCTACCTTTGTCCCCCATGGGCAACCACTGTTTGTACTTTCTTGTACTTTGGAAATATTTCTGTATATTAAATAGATTAAATTTGTAGCTTTTCCCATCTTCACACAAATGGTAGCATGATATGCAGAATTTAATGTCTTTTTCACTTTTAATATAACTTGAACACATTTCCATAATAATACATAAAGATCTTCATTTCTGTAACTAGAGAGTATTACAAATAAATGGAGAGGCCATGTTTTATTCATGCACCATTTTTAACCAATTTTATTTCATAATAGTATACACTGAACTGATTTCTGATATTTTTATACTAGCCAGCTACTGCAAGGTATAGCCTTGTATTGAAAGCATCTTACTCTGTGAGAGTGTATTTCAAAGATAAAATCCCTACAAGTAGAATTAAAGAACCAAAAG